TTCCCGCCCTCCTTCCCCAACCAACCCTTGACTCGATGCCTAACACGCGGAACTCGGGAGTTCTTGGATATGCGGGTTGGGTCAGACTTGCATAACACCATCGATACTCAGAATCCTGTTCAGGGGGTTCATCCACCCACTCGGACCTGTTGTGTTACACTGAGTGTACACAAAGTTCTCAGTGGCTTTTGATAGTGTTGTCTGTCATGCGATAGAACCGAGCTGTTGCCACTGATGATCCAGTCTGATCGCAACATGCAGACGCTCTCGATATAGCATATCGTTCTAGCCAATCAAATCATGATGCCTGAAAGTTACAATTTGAGACAGTTTCATCAACAAATTTCCGAAGCATCCGATTATTATACAAACCTTGCATCTGCTCTTCCAACTTAAGTTATCTAGGCCTGCCGAAACCCTCAGAATATATGTAGATTAACCAACATGGTCCGCTGGCGTAATGGCAGCGCGTCTGACTACGAATATTCTTTCAAGAAATCAGGAGGTTCCAGGTTCGACCCCTGGGCGGATCGTTTTTGGGTAATGATTCAGGGCTCCGTATTCTTTTTGGTCATTTTTTGTGAGAAGTTTTGAAAAAGAAAGGAAAATTTTCCAGGGTGGTGCGGGGGATAGGAGACATGTCATCCCTGCTCTCCAACCAACACCCAACAATACTAGATTCCAGCTATATATATTGCCCTAGCTATTTTTAATTCATCAAGTAATAAGGGATAATAACACGGTTTCGTGGTGTAGTTGGTTATCACGTCAGTCTAACACACTGAAGGTCTCCAGTTCGAGCCTGGACGAAATCAAATTCCTTTTTTGTTTTGCCGAATTTCCCCTCTTTCTTTCTCCACCCCGATTGTAACCACACCACATCTTTATTAATTCCCCTCATTTCGGCACACACGCACTGGAGAAACAAAACACGGCAAGTGTGACATCATTAGAACCTCAATTTTCAGACGACAAGAATATTGACGTCGTTGATTTTGAGTTCTCCAAATATGAGTAAAGAACCCCTTTTCCGGGCACAAAGTAAACAAACAAACACATTTCTGTATTTCCTCAACTACTACCAAACTAAATACACACGTTCTCTCTCTCAAAGCACACGAATCCTGTCTATCACTCTCTTGCCGACGAGCTTGAAAAGATGACTTGGATGATGACCGCTCAAGGACCAGGCTCACAATACCCAAACTCAGACTGGCATCCGACGATATAAGGACAGTACTGATCGCCATCGCCACAATAACCAAACTGGGAGCAGCACCGACCGAAGTTAGATCCGAGACAATTGACTCCATTACCGCAGCGGCCATCAGTCGAGGATCTTTGTCCTGGAGGCAAAACGAAGCTGGGGGTTGGTGCCGCGCTTGTTGTTGAGGTCGTAGATGTCGTGGTCGAAGTCGTAGAAGTTGTGGTCGAAGTCGTAGAAGTTGTGGTGCGAATGCTGGTCGTAGACGTGGTAGAAGAGGTTGTGGAAGTAGAAGTAGGTGTTTGTACCGGAGGCGTACTAATCGTTCCGTTTCCTGGGTTGGTACCAGGCAATCCAGGGATACCAAAGCAAGCACCGAAATCAGATCTGCAACCTGCTCCACAGAAATCCATTGAGGAACCGCACCAGAAGAACTGAGAGCAGCAAGGGCCGTAATTGGGGTTTCCGATGCAGATTGTGCCGTTGCCGCATTGACCGTTTTGAGTGATGACGAGGGGACCGGTTGGGATTGGGATGGAGGTTGAAGAGGTGCTGCTTGGGGGGATTACGATGGGTGTTGTGGAAGTGGTGGAAGTGGTGCTGATGGAGGTTGGAGTAGGGGTGGTGGAAGTGCTGGTGCTGGTTGGGGTGGGAGTTGGTGTCGTGGACGTGGACGTGGACGTGGACGTGGTGCTGGTTGTGGATTCAACAGGTGCCGGGGGAGGCCAACCGCAGACTCCGTATTGAGTTTGGCAGTCAAACAGGGGATGGCAATGGTCGACTGTTAAACCGCAGAAGCCGTAGTCGGAGCAGCATTGATTGTCCGGGCATCGACCGACGCCGGCGCCGCATCTACCGCTTGACTGACGAGCATGGATCCCGAGTTGCATGTTGCGGCGATGGAGGGACTTGGAGAGACCCCTTCGGCTGAGAGAACCATTTCTGCTGTTGTCGGCGGCGAGGGCGCCAGTCCAACACAAGGCCGCCGTGGCCAAGCTGATCAAAGTTGTCCTCATGGTGTTTTGGGTTTTCGAGAAAAGGACACAGCACAAGAGAGAAAGAAAAGAAGGGAGACTCCCGGGACGGCGCAGGCTGGTGAGATAAATAAATAAATCCTCCTCTTCCCGAGCTTTCTCCTTCAACCCCACATCGTCGTCGTCTTTCTTTTCTCTTCCTCCCAGGACTTTCGATCGATTCCCGGCTCCCGGCTGTTAGATCATGGACCCGCAGGCGCAAAAGCGTTTGAATATGCTTGGTATACCTGTTTGTAATTTAAACTCTACCCAAAAAAGGAGTGTAACAGCAGAGAGGTTACTATCCGGAGAGAGATACAAATTAGGTTTATTATTTGTTATTATTTTCCACCTGAGAATATTCTGAATGAGGCTAAATGAAAAAGCATGTGCCGGTTTTACCGAAGTTTTTTTTTTCTTGTCTTGTCTTGTTTTCCAACCCATGCAGGAACGGCGGGAGATATCCCGTGTTGTGTCTTTTTCCCCTATAGAAAACCGTCTTGGCGGTAACGCTTGAAGGGACCCTTCCATATTAAAATATGATGATGAACTCTTCTCGGCATCCCTTGGGAGAAAAGAAAATGCACGATAAGGATACCTTGCTTGGTTTTTTTTATATTGAAGACAAGACACACACACCAAGAACGCTTACTTTTAGGGTGTCACACACTACGCGGGTCGGCTGAGCGTTTCTTGCAGATTATTGATAGGGTACCAGTGGGAGGAAAACAAAGCTCGCTTGGATGCAAGGATCAATGCAGATTGGCTCGTTGGGGTATTTTAGGTAGAATACTTCTAGAACATGTGTAGCTGTGTTTCTATACATGTATATGATTTCATCGAAGCGCACGTAGTAAACTCCAATCCGAGAAAAAACAAACAATAATCCTGACAACCTAGAGAACTAACCCGAATATTGTAGTAGTCATGCCACGTTGTTGACCAGTTCCGTACATGTACCGCCGTAATTGATTTCCCGGTACAACGAATTAAAAATTCTCCGTAACCAATGAAGCCCGCTACCGTATCTATCATTCGGTGCAATGCTACCTTTTGTTCCCAAAAACCAACCATTCTTCTCTCGGGGTTTGAATAATGCCTGATCTGATAATGGCACGCTGAAAAGGAAACCATACCTAATCATGGATGAATTGGGGTAGTAAGTTCCGAGAAGGATATGTCATGAGTCCTTGCTTAGGTATCACTTTTAATATGTTGGTAGTTCCTATCAACGGTAGCTACGTCTAGCGATACTCTTGGACAACGATGAGTTTATAAAAGCCACGAGGTGTTTGTAGACACCATGGCAGTCTTAGGGTCGTAGTCTCTTATTTTGCCTCTTTCAAATCCCGGTTCATAGGGATCAAGTCCACAGTTCGGGATACAATCCTGACGGTTGTGGGAAAAGCGTGGTGATGTTACATCGTTGGTGATATGGAATTTATGTTTGTCATTATCACGAATGAAGATTAGAATAATGAAAGTCATGGCAAGAACTTGTTATAGATTGATTCGCTCTGTCTAGAACTTGAAGTAACTCGCCCAAAAATAAATGTTGACTTGAGTTACCACCCAGGTACTTCTAAGTCAAATCCAATACCAGTTACCTGCACATGTTGCCCCTTGCCTCAAGCCTCTTGCGTCAGTGGAGATGAAGAACTAGGAATGATAGAGGCCCCAAGTCAAATAAGCCCATTTACTGTCGGTTTCTGTTTGGCAGCTCATGCTGCCAGAAGCTGCAACCACAGTTTCTCCCTTGCTGTTCTTGCTAGTGTGTGTCGAAAGGGCAGCCCTTACATTTTGCCAGATGTCGTCATTTCCGACCTTGGCTGTCTTGCCCCACAGGGTGTTTGTGGCACCGAAAGCGCATGATCCCAGTGTCTGGAGCGTTTGTTGTTGATTGTATTCGAGCCACCAAGTAAAGGAATCCGACATTGCTGTCTGCAAGCATCTTGCAGTCAGATACGAGGGGAGAAGCATCGCTGTATTCCATATCGGGATTGGTGTTCTCTTTCTCACAATCATTGGTTCTCTTGGAGAGCATCTTCGGGGCTGTCTCATTGACCCATTTATGGGTTGTTTCGTCCCAATTCCAGTTGCCCTCAGCACCCCAGAGACCATCTTTAAGTTTCCGGGTGCTGGGTGGGAGATCTTTGCGTTCCTCGTCAAGGTTGGCTTCGGAGGACCTGAGCTTTCGAGTCGTGACGTGAACGGGAGAAACGAGAGCGGGGCTCAAATTGGAATTTTCAGAGGCATTGTCGACAGATGTTGAGGCAGGAGCGCCACGGGAGAGGGTGAAGAAGCCAGCGATGGCGATGGCAGCGGTGTTGGTGAGCTTCATGGTTTTTGTTCTTTTGAGGAAGACTAAAGAGAATGAGTGGCTTGGAAATGATCCATAAGCTATGTTTGTGAGGGAGATGAAGCCTTTAAATACCCAAGAAATTGAGAAACGGGGTGATTCAGAGAGTGCTGAGTTCCCAACATTTTGTACTGTGTAGTTCAACAAGATGGTCACAAACTTCCCGACAACAGTCGTTTCCTTTTCGGTGTGACCAGGCAGCCGCATATGACTTTATGATTGTATGGCAAAAGAGACGAGATCAGGCGTTGAGGAAGTGAAAGTGATGTTACGTTGAGGAGGTATAGACTTGCAGCAGGATGCCCATGACCCGAATGGGAAAGATCGGTTGACCAAACGTGGCGAACTCGTCCAAAAGTTTCAAAAGCAGCAAAATGGAACCGCATCAAAGGAAGGGCTTGAGGGCAAAAATAACCAAAAGAAATGCCCCCACGCGGGATTGAACCGCGGACCTCATCATGTCGCTAGATGATACGAGTGATGCGCTCTACCACTGAGCTATACGGGCTTACTCGATTTCATGGCTGTCATCCTCTCTGCTCTGTTTACATCACCGCTTGCTTGCATTGTTGGTGATAAAGTGGTTTTCAGACGTTTTCTCAACCAACTGTTGATTTACGGTTTAAGCCCCATCTGTCAGATGTTCCTCTGATACGGACATAAAGTCAGTCTTTGCACATTTGCTCATATGACTTATGATGCAAGCGAATTGAAGACCAAGATGAGATGGACTTTGATAGCTTGCATTGCTCTGTGAGAGCGTACCGCTATAATACTTTAAGGCATTAATATCAACTGTAAATAAATTATCATTACAGAATAAAATCGATTTTAAATACATAAATAAGTTGCTACTGCCATCTTAAACCAAATAGAAGTTGACATGTCAACTAAACAGCCAATTGAAATGCCGTTGTTCCATTCCCGCCACTGAAATACGCTACACCCAAAAACCAGAACTCATGCATTTGAGCGTGGTATCAAGTAGTGCTCTCAACATCATCAGTCCTCTGTGGCGCAATTGGCTAGCGTGTCTGACTGTTATTCTGACAGAATCATCAGGAGGTTGGAAGTTCGAGCCTTCCCGGAGGAGATTTGGTGTCCGGGTGGTTGAATATGCAAATGGGGATAAGTCCGTTCCCTTTCTTTTTTTTGTCATGTGTATGATATCTCCTATCGCGTTTTTGGGGTACCCCTTTTTCTGTTGTGTAACACTCCTCATATGCCGCCTTTGGCCCCATTATGCACGTTCGGTACATACTATTACATGCTGTGAGATGCATCATGCTGCTGCATATGTTATCCCGACCTATCGCAGATACAGAAAGTTCGGAGCCTCGGACAAGCTGAATAGGCTATACTGGAATCGTTTTCCGAGCTCTACCTTTATCTTTGACATAAATTGCCCCGCAAAGGAATCAGATCATGGTCTCTCATCGCCATTATCATTACAATCCAATCCGCCAGAAGCATCACTAAAAACCAAAAATGTCTTCCTCGGCCTCACTTCCAGTAGACAATCCCATCATCTCCCTCCTTCCCGCCCCAACCCGCCACACAACAACCCACAATGCCTCAACCGGCAGCGCCATCTTTATCTCCCCCAACGTATTCCCTTCCTCCCCCGCTCCGTATGGAAGCATAGGAATGGTGGTCCACGATGTCTACAAGACATTCACCACCCCATTGAACATGACAGACGAACAAGACATCCACGCTTTGCTGTCCCACCCCGTCCGTCCGTCCGAGGACAGTATTTGGTTCCCTGCCACAGGAGAAACCCTGTTCAGGTATTGTGACTGGGCACCTGGAAGTACCCTCGCCTTTCACAGGACCGAAACGATTGACTTTGGGGTCGTGACGAGCGGAGAGATGGAATTGACCGTTGGTGATGGAAAGTGTGACCAAGGCAAGGAAACAAGAACCTTGAAGGTCGGCGACGTGGTGGTGCAGAGAGGGACGCTGCATGCTTGGAGGAACCCGAGCGAGACTGAGTGGGCGAGGGTTGTGTTTTTCTTGATTGGGGCTGAACCTGTTATTGTTGCCGGTCAGGCTAAGAAGGCGTTGTATCCATGGGAGAATCAGAGCGAGGATAATAGTTCAATGTAGAAGGGTCAGTAAATTCCCAGTCATGGGATTCGAGCATAGTGCTATCTCTCCGTTCATTGATCGTGACCTGTGAGAGCTTTTCTTGAGCTGGTGGGTGGATACTCATGTGGGGGGCTACGGGAGGTTCAATGTCACTGGATGGCCGTAGTGAGCGGATGTAAATGGAAACGGTATGATATCGACGGTTGGTTGCGTCTTCTCGACCCTTTAGAGTGCCCGGGCCGGCCTGGCCGACATTGTGCTGGTCACTATCCTTGGCAGTTGTCATCTCGAGAGAGAGCCTGACGCCATGGTGGGTGGAATCATTCATCACACCCACTTCGGTGACTCTGTCTTGGACTCGCACCACGATAACCGAGAGTCCTTCTTTGGAGAGTGTTGAAAGAGGATTAGACCATAGATTATTGCTATCAATTTATCGTCAATCCCTTTCTCTTCAACACAGTCGTTTGCCGCTTGTAGAATGGTCTTGGTATGTGCATCCGAGTGTGTATCGCTGTACAAGATAGCGACTGGTGCAGACTGGCCTTGCGAGTTGTTGAAGAAGCCAGCAACTAAAACACAAGTACAGATCCGAGTTTTCTGAAACTGAAGGTCAAATTGTGTGACGCAGATGAAAGGGAGGGTACGTTCGGCCGTGCCTAGACCCTGTGATTCCAGGGCCATAAAATAGCCATTTCTTGCTTGGCGTGATTCCGGGACCCAAAGAAAAGATGGTGACATTGATGTGCTCTCGAGTGGAATGGCATACCGATCCTGAACCAACTTCTGGTCGAGTTGGAAGTCAATGTATACGCGACTCATCTGTTGAGCCAGAACTTGAGCCTTTGCTACCGGCAGCAGAAGTTTGTGGATGAAAACGGTTTGTCTCTGGTCCGAAAAGTGATTCAAATCCCTGGTGATGTACAGTCTGTCTGGATAAAGCCGTACGAACTTGCCGTATAATGTCCTCCCCAAATAGATGCCCACAAATCGTGAACCGCCCCAAGTTTGTATGTCACTGGAAAGACTCAAGATCAATTCATTGTCCTGGGAGGTGCCCATTTTGGCCTTCATTTTGACTCCGTTGTTGGTCATGGAGAACCTGCTCTGCTCCAGTTCCATCGGGTTTCTGAATACTTCCAACGTGCCACATCGCTCAAATTCATGAGGCGAATTCGCCAGGATCCCCCCGAAGTTGAAGCCATCTCCGGCAGTACCGCTGCCACATGCAGTCCAGGCAAAAATCGAAAGGTCATTGGATTCCTTCGCAATCTCCTCTTGTAGGCGGATGAATGCTCGTTTTCCCTCCCCGTAGAGCATGGGCATATTGACTCCAAAGATTCCCAGCAGGCAGTAGGCAATATCTTCGACCCTTGTTGTCTCGCGCCTTGAAGCCCAAGACATTCTCTGAGCAACAGATATGTCGCTGAGTGGCGTCTTGTTCAAAAGGGAGCTTGCATTTATTCGAGTCACGGACGAAAGTTCATCAACAAGTGATATCTTTGAGCCCCTGAAAATCCATGCCTGGTCGAAGAATTCTACCACTGTCGGCGCGATGAGCTCCTGAAGCGTCCACCCTCGAGTAAACCATCGATGAGTCTTTTTTGCTGATAGCCAACGGTCATCGTGTTTTTTAGGTGTGTCATTAGGCGGCAAGTCGTCAATAAAGGCAAAACAAACACAAGCATAGCGATACCAGTTGAACATGGAGTTGATGGCCTCGCTCAATTCGGCGCTGCTTGTTTTATCGATGCAACACGTGTCGACCCAAGCGTATTTTAATCCTCGATCCTTTGCCAACTCGCAGGTCTTGTGAATTTTGGCATAGCCGGCTTTTTGTTTCCTCTTTTCCGGGTCGGCAAACTCTTGAAAAGAAACCTCTCCCAGACCCCACGTGTGGGATAAAATGGCGTATTTCCCATCCTCTGGGTTGAACACCGGCTCCAAACATATGGTTGTCGTGTTGATAAGCCACATAGTGAAAGAAGAGAGAAAGATGTCGTCATCGAGAGTTCATGACGAGTCGAAACGGCTGAAAAATGAAGTTGATCGAAAAAGATGCGCAAGGGAGAAAGTTTCTTTCAGCCAAATGAATGCGGGGAAAAACTCTCACGAGAGAAGGAACTAACTCCCAACTTGACTAAGCAGTCAGCTGCTGCACCGCTCGCAGCAAGACATCGGCAAAACGAGCATGACAGCAAGTGAAATTTACTAAAAGCCAAAAACGTCCACAACCAAAACCCTTTTCTTTTAAAACTTGGGTAGATATTCATTATCAAGCAATATGACTACCAAGACCAACCCCACAAGTGACACGCCCGGCTAGCTCAATCGGTAGAGCGTGAGACTCTTAAGGAGTTCTCCGAAAAATCTCAAGGTTGTGGGTTCGACCCCCACGTCGGGCTCAATTCCCGTCTTCGATAGTGTTTCTTTTTTTCTTTTTTCTTTTTTCTTTTTTTTTTTTTTTAGAGTTTCGTCTTCTTTTTAAACTTGACCTTTTCTTTTCTTAGAAAATTGTCCAGTTGAAATCCTTCTTCTTGTCCATGGGACGGTGGCCTTGAAGCAAAATCACTTGACTCGCCATATAAAGCTAAAAACTGAAAATTTCATGGACCAAGCCAATCATTTCTATACTAGACTCATTGAACAGGTGATAATATGCCATGTCAGTGATCACATAGCAAACTCGGTCAAATCAAAAACCTACAGGGGGTATCAGGTAACGTTATCCCCTCACAACAGCTAACAGCGATTCTTACTTGATCGTCTAACTTCAGCAGCATCCCAAAGGACTATGCTTCTGTTTCTCCGGGTGATGATAAATTAAGCCTTTGGTATCGGCTTCTGTCTGTTGATCACGGCATTGCCTATCCGTGCTATCACAACTCACCATCCCTCCCTGTGTCGATCATATCCAAACACAGTCCACAATGCCACCTCACTGCCTAGGTACCCAACCAATAACCAAATATCAGCGAATTCGAAAATTTTATGATACATCATAAAGTACATACAAAACAAGCCTCCACTTTTCTATTGACCAATAAAAGAGGTGAAAACACACACAAACAAAAATATATGTAGTATCATGATGCTGTCATTCTATCATAAACTAACATAAAGTTTGAGAGTTCCCTGATCCCAATTGGCCAATGATAATACCCGGTTCTGTTTCCGGGCATCGTTTGTGTTTTTGATGGTTAGTTTGTGGTGTAAAAGTCGGAGTCGGGCGCACCTCCGATGGTGGGAAGGGATCTTTTGTCTTTTTCTTGAGCAGTTGTTCCTCACTGAGAAGGGGCCTCAACAAATGTTTGTGGGGAGTTGCCTAAAATGTCTGAGCAACTATCTCCGTATGCTGTCCAATGGAAAAAAACCGTTTCGGCAGGTAACTGATCTTGCATCGATTTAAAAGAGAAC